CCCCCCAATGTGCCCCCTCAGAATAAAAAGCTTATTTATTAACATTTCAAATCTGCAGCTTTTCGTAAAAAAAAAAATTCCCGATGATCTTCCCATGAGGGAGACCTTGTTCAGGCACTTCCTGCTATAGGGTGACAACGTTCTGTGTCCCCATCTCCCAGTTGGGCTCCTGTGTTGTCACCCTGTCATGATGAAGACTACATGTGGCTGTTTGGACACACATTGCTCGGGCACGGTCCACCCATTATTAACAGGAAGTCAGTCCAGAACAATGGTGTGTGGCCGATGCTGGAGGGAGAGCGTGTACATGGGAGGAGATCCGCAGCAATGAGATGGGGAGAAGGATGAAAAAAAGAGAAAACAGGAGCTTCCTGTAATAAAGACCGCCCCCTGCTGCTCTCTCTCCTTGTGCAGGGTGACTGGTCTTGTCTCCGCCCACTCCTGTAATAAAGACCAGTCACTGCTGCTCTCTCTCCTTGTGCAGGGTGACTGGTCTTGTCTCCGCCCCCTCCTGTAGTGGGTGGAGCCTTCTAGGCCCCTCCCACACTGTTCTCTGCACAGGCTATGTACAGCACAGTGATGTCACTGCTGCTTCTACAAGGTAATATCTGTGTTTACAAAGGCATTTGGTGTCCGGGAAAAGTAACAGTTACTGGTGTTGGGGCGAACCATGAAATACTGCCGGGGGTGCTGACAACACAGCATGTCAAATGAAGAAGAAGCCGGGAGATCCTTGCACTGCAGGTCCTCAGGTACGGCTTCCTCTTCAGCAAGGAGAACGGTGAGCAGCACAATGATGACATCACCAAATCTCACTCCCGAGTCTGGAGAGACCATCAGCAGTGCCTGAGATCTCATATTGTAGATATACAGCTATGAGGGTACAAAACTAGGCACAGGAAGTACTCTGATATCAGGAGTGCCCGGGCACAGGAAGTACAGTGATATCAGGAGTGCCCAGGCACAGGAAGTGCTCTGATATCAGGGGGGCCCGGGCACAGGAAGTACAGTGATATCAGGAGTGTCCGGGCACAGGAAGTGCACTGATATCAGGAGGGCCCGGGCTCAGGAAGTGCACTGATATCAGGAGTGTCCGGGCACAGGAAGTACAGTGATATCAGGAGTGCCCGTGCACAGGAAGTGCTCTGATATCAGTAGTGCCCGGGCACAGGAAGTGCACTGATATCTGAAGTGACCGGGCACAGGAAGTGCTCTGATATCAGGAGTGCCCAGGCACAGGAAGTGCACTAATATCAGGAGTGCCCGGGCACAGGAAGTGCACTAATATCAGGAGTGCCCGGTCACAGGAAGTGCACCGATATCAGGAGTGCCCGGTCACAGGAAGTGCTCTGATATCAGGGGTGCCTAGGAACAGGAAGTGCACTGATAGCAGGAGGGCCCAGGCACAGGAAGTGCAAAGCTATTTTTTAGGAGATATTCGACACAAAAGGTAAGTCAGGTTTTGGCTTCAGCTGCACTTCCCATTTTATTATCACCGGAGGCAAATGTCCAGATGATATTCAGCAGTGTCAGTATGCCTCGGCCATCCTGTGCTGCAGGCAGGAGGAAGCATTTCCTCAGTCTCCCCTCCCCCCCCCAGGGGTCAATTCGGCCGATTGGGAGGCGGAGCTCTCTCGCATAAGATCACCTCCCCCATCAGCTGAATTACCAAATCAGTTATCAATAACCGATCAATAGATTATTTCCTTGTGATCGGGTTCTGTGACGTGTAGCCCCGGCTCTGCGTACAATCAATCTATAGATCAATATCGGTCTGTATCCCGTATATTGATCAGGACCAATAATGAAGTGACTGAAAACCAATCGATTCTATTTCCTCATTGATCGCGAGGTGCGTTTTGCACACGATTCGGTCTCTGTGGCCGCGTCGAATGCTCATTGATCGTATCGATCGGTGTGGCCGCCATGTTTTCGGATTGGACGGTGTGTGAGCACCTTTAAGGGTCAGGGGGGCAATACTGACCGCCATGTGGGGGCGCTGGTGCCCTGTGACCGCCGTCCCTCCGGAAACACGGAGCCCTTTGTAATGTAGAAACGATCAATCATTCGTTATTGATGATTGATTGACAGCTGATCGGTAATTCAGCTGATTGGGAGGCGCAGCTCTCTCCCATAAGTTCACTTCCCTGTCAGCTGACTTACTGAACGGCTGTCAATCAATCATCAATAACCGATCAATAGATTATTTCCTTTGATTCTGACCTGTAGCCGCAGCTCTGCGTACAATCAATCAATATAGATATATCTAATATTGGTCTGTATATTGAATATTGATCAGGACCAATAATGGACTGAAAACCGATCGATTCTTTTACCTCATTGATCGCGAGGTGCGTTTTGCACACGATTCGATCTGTCTGGTTCATTGATCATGTTGA